CCCCCTCCTTCCACCATTCACACAGACGCACATTCATTTCGCTTTTATTCCACACGGTTGCGTTCGTAATCTCCAGCCTGGATTGGAACCGCTCTAATTCTGTCCATTAAGACGATTTCGTGCTGCCCAAAGGGGACAAACACACACGCACGCACGCCCCCCCCCACACACACCCACGCACACACATACGCACACAACGTTGCGGGACTTAAACATAGCCTGCATATGCAAACGTAGCAGAGTCACCAGGAACCTGCAGTCCAACTTTAGATATACTTGCAGACTCCTATGAGGCCATACTTCTGCCTAAAAGGAAAAAAAAAAAAGCTCAGCCTTGGATATGAAAGAGACGATGTGATCAAGATGGCCCGTTCGTCACTCAACAACTTGTATTTTGTATGTATTTCCTGATCCAGACAATGAGCTCAGTGTGCTTACCTTTTCTTCTTCTTTTTTTTTTCTCTCTCACACAGGCCATGATTTTCTTTGACAATAAAAGAGATTTATATCGCGCCAAGACACCCAGGGACACTTGCGGAGAAAAAAAGAAAAAGCCAGAATAAGGAGTAAAAACCAATACGTATACAACTATGTTGAGAAAAAAAAAACAACAACAAGAGCAAAGCATGCAATATATGATTATTTAATATTTGGAGTAATTCTGTTTGTTTGTATGTTTCCTCACTATGTTTTATCATTTTCACAACTGGAAAGAAAAAAAAAAAACATCTCGTGCCACTCGTGTCTGGTCCAGGTGTGCCTCGTGGTCTTCTCAGTTTGCTTGTGTTTCGTTCCCTGCTTCCTTTCTTTCTTTCAGTCACGTCCTCTTGTCAAGTCATGAGTGTTTACTTTCCTAACATTGCTTTGTTCAATTGGGGTCTTTGTTCATTTAACGTTTAGAACGTTCCCAGTGCCTAATTTGTTTGGTAAAATCAATTATTTTGGGTGGGAAGATTCATTCTGCTTTGTCACCCCGCTCCTGCGCGTTTGGGTCCTTCATTTCTTCTTTTTTTTTTTTTTTTGCTTCACTCCACCACGCTAACCCGTCTTGCCGCCACTGCGACAGCAACATTCTGGTCCAACTCCAAATAGCACATTAGCAGCAAACACTGCGGACGGACATTTATTCAGAAATTCCCGTCATTAAAAACTCATTGACTGTCTCATCTGTTATGTCGGGGAAAACAATCCATTTCAGCCCTTCCCACTTCAGACCTCAGCACACATACTGTAATCACTTTTTGGATATGATTTGTGAACTCATGCAGTAGATGCGGTCGGTTTCTCGATGCTCGGCATCACCAAATAGCTCTCCATCGTCTTGGTGACAGTCCCGCAGAAACGGTGATGGGAAAGCACGTGTCACCAAATGGTCCATTATTTACTCCACCATTGAAGGACCGTAAAGAAATGGCAGCATCCTGACGGCATGCGTCGGATCTATTTGCCTTGCAGGAGCACTTCCCCGTAATGCGCAATCCAGTATGAAAGGCCGCTGGGGCCGAGCAGTTCATACGAATGTCACTCATGCCGGAGAGCCCGTTTGCAAATGCCACCCGCACTGAAAAACGCTATTCTTCACAACCAGAGATGACATTTGCAGATGTTGGGCAATTATAGTCACACAACAGTCGCTTCCGGCTGCTGCGAGGCTCCGGGCCGAGGACACACCCATTAAATCCACCCCTCCCCCCACCAAAAAAAAAGTTGAATGACCTAATGAATAAAATTAATTTGCAGCATGTCTCGTCGTAAGCCGAGGTTCAACACGATTACTGATTAGTGACCTCCAGTCTTTGAAGCACAATGAATTAAAACGTGGCAGCCGTGCGATTAATTCAAGCCACGTTGCCTAAATAGGCTGCCGGAGTGTCGGAATTTTGACGGAAAGCAACAAAAAATGTGGGCATACGACGCCACACGACGAGAGGAACAATCAACAGTGTTGTTGTTGTTGTTTTTCTGTTGGGTTTTTTTTTTGTGGTTTTTTTGTGACCACCGACTTGCGCATTTAAATTTGAAATGGTTTTTTTTCGGCGAACCTCAGGCTCTGCTGCCGATTGTCTTGTTTAAAGGAGGCGGCTGATGTTCCAACTAATCTTAAACTTGCTGGACCCACAGGTTATTTTTGGGTAGCGAATAGAATGAGGCTCGGCTTCACGGAAAGTTAGCGCATCGACATGTCCGCCTTCACTCAATTTTGGTACCTTGGCAGCATCTCTCCAATAAAAGACGATTCGATACACGTCTTCATGTATTTTAACTTGGAACGATTTGATTCAGTTCAATTTGATGCGCTATACACGTTTTATCGTGGATAGTTAGATTTGGTGACGGGGAAATTCAAAAATATGCGCTTGCACAAATGTGAGCCGATGATAATGGATACCGGCAGATCAGGGTACCGTCTGATCCACGGGTACAGACGGAAAAAATGACTATTATGGGTTGATTTTGGGAGGCGTATTCTATACAGGTGCCCATTATACTCTTGATTTTACGGTTGAACATCGCTTTTTTTATGCTCTGCTTGAGCATTTTCATTTGAAAAATGTTCGCTCTGAACCTCGAGTGTCATTTTCCTTCCGTGGGATGTTCTCGCATCAAAAACGAATAAAAATGACTGGTGATTTTCTCATTCAGTGGTAAAAGAAATCTTGTAGATGACTTGGAAACCTTCAGTGCCTTGGCATTGCCCTCTGCGTGGTTGCGTTCAAATGTACTGTATCACCATAAGGTTTTTTCAATGACTTTTCCAATAATAAACATTTCAAAGCAGACACATACCAAGGCCGAGGTGAGCGCCACATGGTCCTGTTTTGGAACTGACGCATTTCTCCAAAAATGTCAAGGCCACTTGCCTGCAGAAACCAATTTCGGCATCCAAAGTAAAAACGCGAAGGGATAAAGCCATTGAATTTCCATTCTTCGCAAAGCTGAGTCAATATATCAAGGTACTAAAGCTGTATTGATTGGCGCAGGAGCGACCCAAAGAGACCTTCAACTACAAGTGAACCACCATGAAAAGCTGTTTCTGGACTGCTTTGTCCGCTCCGCTTTTAGAAGCTTGTCGAGAAGAAGGGAATCTCACTGGAGTCGCCGCCACGATATGATACACGGGTGTATTGGCACGAACCGGGAGGAACCCGAACCGCCGCGGCCAAAACGTCTCCCGCATGACCCTCCCGCCCATCGCCGCCGCCATGACCAATTTCTTCGGGTCAGTCGTTACTAACGTGGCGTCACGCATCCCAGGTGGGAAGTGTCAACAGCAATTTTCTGGGGTAACGGACCCGTACATGCTGCTGCCGCACTGGCATAAATGCTTTCCGTGTGCTTCCTCCTCCACCGTGAGTACAAATCGATTCATGTGGAATAGCTGTTGGCTTTCTAGCTTTCGGTCAGACGAAACGACACGTTGCACAACTTTGTCCTATTTTTGTCATTGTGTCCGTGTACGGGCAATAGGCAGAGGACACCCTGAACCGGTTGCCAGCCAACCGCCAGGCACACACAGACGAACAACCGTCCGCGCTCACACTCATCCCTAGGGACAATTTAGAGTGTTCAATCTGCCTGCCATGCATGTTTTTGGAATGTGGGAGGAAACCGGAGTACCCGGAGAAAACCCACGCAGGCATGGGGAGAACACGCAAAGGCTGGAGCGGGGATCTAACCCACGACCGACGCACTGTGAGGTCGACGTGCTAACAAAATTTAAATATATATATATATAGAGAGAGAGAGAGAGAGAGAGAGAGAGAGAGAGAGAGAGAGAGAGAGAGAGAGAGATCAATATACATTTTTTTTTCAAGACTGAAATTATGAAATTATTATTTTGACCCAAGGTTTTTTTTTTCCGGGTGCCCTTCAGTCATTAGCATGAGAGCATTTTCATAGCGCGCGTCCACGAGAAGTACTGCGAATGGCCGCTCCTACGCAGCGCCTGGATCGGCGCGTTTCTTGTCAACACACTCCGCGCGTGGCTAAGAAGCCACCGACATTTCTGAGTGAATTACTCGACCAACGTGCGGCATTGGAATTGGCTCTTATCAAGCAGACGCGGCACTCGGAATATCAATGTGGACGTGTCTTTTGCGGCGAATGCAAATGACCCGCCCGCCACACGAGCCCTCCCGGCAATCTAGAGGCATTTAATTTCTCAGGTACAGTCGGAGCCCCTGCTAATTATCCTCGTTAAGGCCATCCAAATGGCTTTCATTTCGCCAGCGAGGAATGTTTTAAGAGGACACCACGAAAATGAACATTGGCTGGCCGGGGAACGTGACGAGCATCCTGGAACGCCACTCTTGCCCCAACAGGGCAAACAATCGCTCTCTTTTCACGCGTCGGGATTTGCGATGGAGAAGAGGCAAAGTTCAGCACAATTTGGCTCTCGCATTTCTCGTCAGTTCTCCACCCACGCTCAAGTGTCGGCGTTCGATGCAGGAGTAAGAACACTCTCCCAACACCGACAACTCGGCCCATTGACGGCTTACCGTGGTTTCCTTCATTTACCAAATAGTCTTTCAATGAAAAATAAAATTGATTGGATTAAATGGCGGGAAAATGCTGTTTTTATGTTCTCAAATATTTTTTTTAAAAAGCTGCAATTTTAATAGCAAGATGCTGAGGACATTTTGGTTTTCGTACCAAAATAAAATGAAAAAAAAAGTATTTTAACTGCAATTCAATCAAAATTTGTTGAACACAAATGTCAAATAAAAAGTGTAGCCAAATAAATGTACTTAAAAAACATGACAGTCAAAGTTATGTTCTTAAAAGTTAAATATAAATGAACTGTACTTAAAAAATAAAAAAATAAAAAAAAGTTGAAACCGTTGCATTACACAGTTTGAAAGTTTAATTGAGCGA